GGGGTGGGGAGGGGCTTGTGGGGGTGGGGAGGGGCTTGTGGATTTGGGGGAGGGGCTTATTGGGGTTCCCTGGTGCAATTTGGGGGTTCCCAGATGTAATTTTGGGGTTCCCCTGTATAATTTTGGGATCCCCAGTATAATTTGGGGTTTTCCTGGTACAATTTTGGGATCCCCAGTACAATTTTGGAGGTCGCCGGTATAGTTTGGGGCTCCCCAGTATAATTCGGGGTTCCCCAGTATAATTCGGGGTTCCCCAGTATAACTTTGGGTTCCCCTGTCCAATTTGGGCGCCGGCAGTGGGTGCAGGAGGAGGCGCCGGACGTGCTGTGCCTGCAGGAGACCAAGTGCGCGGCGGCGGCGGTGCCGGCCGAGGTGCGGGCGCTGCCGGGGCTGCCGCACCAGTTCTGGTGCAGCGCCAAGGAGCGGCCGGGCTACAGCGGCGTGGGGCTGCTGGCCCGCAGCGAGCCGCTGGACGTCACCTACGGCATCGGTGAGGGCGGCGGGCCCGATGGGCCCAAACGGAGCCAAAGTCAGCCCCAGACCGGCCCGAAACTGCCCCAAAGTCAGCCCCAGATTGGCCTGAAACTGCCCCAAAGTCACCCCCAAATTACCCTGAAACTGCCCCAAAGTCAGCCCCAGACTGGCCTGAAACTGCCCCAAAGTCAGCCCCAGATTGGCCTGAAACTGCCCCAAAGTCAGCCCCAGATTGGCCTGAAACTGCCCCAAAGTCAGCCCCAGACTGGCCTGAAACTGCCCCAAAGTCAGCCCCAGATTGGCCTGAAACTGCCCCAAAGTCAGCCCCAAATTACCCTGAAGCTGCCCCAAAGTCAGCCCCAGACTGGTCTGAAACTGCCCCAAAGTCAGCCTGAAACTGCCCCCAAATTGGCCTGAAATTGCCCCCAAATCACCCCCAGATTGGCCTGAAACTGCCCCAAAATTACCCTGAAACTGCATCAAAATCACGCTGAAACTGCCCTGAAATTACCCTGGAACTGGCCTGAGACTGCCCTAAAATCACCCCCAAATCGGCCTGAAACTGCCCCAAAAGTGTCCCTGAAATTAACCTGAAATGCCCCAAAATCACCCTGAAACTGCCCCAAAATTACCCTGAAACTGCCCCAAAAGTGCTCCAAAATCCACCTGAGAAGCTGCCCAGAAATCCACTCCAGTTCTCCCAGTCCCCTCCCAGTCCCCCCAGTTTGTTCCCAATCCCCTCCCAGTCCCCCCAGTCTGTTCCCA